TCCTTTTGTTGTGGAATCAATCATCAGGAATGTGATTTTAGTAAGAGGGAGTATTTTAAAATATCACTTGCCCTGTGTCTCCCCACCCCTCTTGAGTTAACTGCTAATCCATTTACTAAGATGCAGTTTTAAAGCTTCCTTTGGTGGGGATGACCTCTTTAACAGGTTATATGATTGGTATTTAAAATGGCTTGGAGATAAGCAAGACCATTTTGGCTACAGGTTAGGAGCAGTAGTTGTGCAACTGGACGTATTCTCTTAAAGCAGTAGTTATTTTCTCTTCCTATGTGTGAAAAGCATTTCTAAAATGCAGTAAGTGTGCTGAACAACATTCTTAACTTGCGTTTGCAGACTTAAGTGTTCCTATGAAAAACACAGGAAATGCTTGCTCACAACTTTGGAATGAGTACACAATGTAAGCGTTCCCAAAATTCTACAATACGCAGTGCCTTCTTGTCTCCTAAGCATTTGGGTCATCCTACATGAAACTTAGGAAAGCAGATATGACTGATAACGTACTCTTCCTGGAATTGTTATGCTTCCTATTGAGTAGAGTATTTCAGGCTCCTCTAGGGGAAAATCTGAATTCTGCTCTTGCATTTAGAGATTCTTTACATGGGAAGGAAGTTGGGGGGTGGAAGGTATGCAGAGATCACTTAGCTGTTGACTGGGTTTCTTTGTATGTAATAGTACCTGCCAAAAGCCTTTCTGATTGTTTATTTTGAAGCTAGGATTAATCTTTAAACCTTGTTGAAGTACAGTCAGCCTTGTTTAAAGGTAGTTGGGACCTTGCCCTCCCTTACATTGGAACTGGAAGCTGCTTAGATAACTTATGTGATCAGCCACCTGAACACAATCTCAGCTCTGTCCTGTTCGTGTGTACTTTCAGTTAACAAAATTCATATCCTTGCTGGAGTTAGAACTACACAGCTTTCTAGTTGAAGCTAATGCTTAACAGAGGCTTTAAATTAGATGAAGTTCTACTTCTTGGCAATTTTCACTTCCCTGCCAACAGATGACCTTCCCTCTGCATATAACCTACAGTAATAATCTCTATGCCAAGAAACCTGGAGTGGCTCTAAAGATAAGTCCTTCCAACTGTGCCCGAGCGAAGCTAGACTTAAACCTTAGTTTTATCCCTGAAGTTTTATCAACTTTAGCATAAGGTAGGAAAGAGCTTTGCCTGTAAGTTGAAACTTGCCTGTAGAAAATGGGTTCATACCTCATAGTCCTTTCATGAAGCCAGGTTTCGTGTTTATAGTGGAGGTTTTCCAAATATTCAAGCTCAATTCCTTGCTCCTCTTCTCTTCCCCTCACCTGTAGCCTTTCCATGCATTTCTGAAAAAAAGTACAAGCCTGGACATTAATCATGTGTTGAAGGCTAAATCAGCTAAACAGATCAAGTGGTCCTTAATTCAGAAGGACTAATGCTAGACATCAGTGAGCATTAATTTTAAATGTTTGTCTGAACATAAGTTATTCTAGATTTAACTCATTTTTCTTTTAAAAAAACCAAACTTGAGCCAGTTAGCTGAATGTCAGTAGTTCTTACTAAAATGATTATCTTAACTTCAATTCAGGGCTGTATGGGAAGGGAAGTCAAATGATTCAGAAGTTCAACTTTAGCTTTGGATCCTTACTGAGTGGTGGATGCTAGCAACTGTAGCATTTGCTGACATCCGAATAGTAGCTCAGAAGGGAGGGGTTTTAATCTGGTCTCTGAATGAAATCTGAATTTATGATAGGCTTCCCATTACATTTGGGGTGGGGGGAGCTAATTCAGTGTTAGTCACTGAAGTATTATGTCATGAATACTTAGGGGTTTGTACCCTCTAAAGCTCCTGGAAACTGAAGTTGGAGCTGAAGTATTTTCATCTTTAGTGAACGTACCTGAGGTGTGGTTCTTAGGTAGATCATGCCATCTAGTTCTATATCTGACTCAAACTGATTCAAAAGCCATGTGTGCCAGTCCTGATAAATGGCCCACTCTGTTTCATTAATGTTTCCAGACTCGAACAGGTTAGAAGCAAATACATATCTGCAATGGAAGACATTAGTTTCATGCCAGGAATGACCAAAGTGAACTACTAAAACAGTTCTCACTGGAATCAGAATTATAGTACTGAGAAAACAGCTTCTTACTCTTACATCCATAAAGTACTCTTCATACCATCCAACTCTCACCTGTTGACTCAAACCTGCTCCTTGCAGATACTAGTTTAATATTGTTTCCCCAGCTCCATGTCTTTGAGCATAAAGACTTGAAGCTTTTAATCTGAACTCTTGTATTGTGAGAGTAATTACCTGTCACTGTACACAGATCTCTCAAAAAATTGCACTGGATGTTCTGCTTCGTGTAGCTTGGCTGAGACAGGTTTTAATTGTGCTCTTACTTGGCTCAAGCAAGCATAAGTCTGAAATGTATAAGCCCATCTCGTGGGTTTATCATACAGCATTTGAAGTAGATTTCCTCCACTCTTCTGAGATGTTGAAAGTTCCTAGGGGACAAGAGAGAACTTAATACCAGCATATTTGCAGGATTTTGTTTCTTAATCCAGAACTCTGGTATGTTGAAGTAAGAATTCATGGCCTTGTATTTTTTTTTTTTAGGAAAATGCTTAGGCATAGGAATAAACGGTATTCTTTATGACAGCTTCTTTAGAATAGGTTGATCATGGAGTTTCAGAGTTTAGTGTGATTCCTGTGGAGTAGGGGTGGTTGTTTGGAATATGCATTCAATAGTATCTGTCTAAGTAGCCTTTACAATTTCTGAGCGTTTGACCAACTAGTATGATAGTGCGGATGACTCGGGAAGCTCCAGACTAAGTACAGCTGAATTTTGGCCTGGCTCCCCGGCCAATCACTGCAGTTTCTTCTGTGCCCCATCTCTCTCCCCAAGCTTCCCAAATCCAGCACACCTACCTCGTATTCATCTTCAGCTGTCTGGATGTTGCACCACTTGGCAATGGGTTCAGGGATGATCTCCCACTCATCACTGTGTTTCTCTAGTAGCCTGACAAATGTTGACTTCCCTGCAGCTGGAGAAGATTTGAGAAGTTCACCGAGGGTGTAGGTTAGACTGGTCTTACTGATAAAGATAGTGGCAGTGGTGAGGTTTCTTGAAGAGGCCGTAGGCAGCGTCGCTGCAGTGTTTGAGGTGCACGGGACCCCAGGCAGGCTTTGGGCAGCTGGGAGCGGGGCTAGGCGCGCTGGGGAAGGGCTGGCGGGACCGCCCGCACGGTGCTGGTGCGCCTTCCGAGAAAACGGCTCTAATCTCCAGCGCCAGAAGGACGTGCCTAGGCC